CAACCAATTATTTGGAATAAACTATGCTTATGTGCAAATACAGAACAAGCTTTGTCTGTTTTCTTTGATGTTTTGAGTAGGCATGATATATACTAGATTTATGGTGTCTCCTGATATCACTTGTGTATAAAAACGAATACCTTTGAGGGCAGCATAATAAATGAGAATGGCATCAATACTGTACTGGCAGAGAAAGATTCTGGGAATAGAGTCCAGGCATAGTAGTTTTTGATTAGGTACACAGCCGGTACATATCTGGTAGCTTTTCACTATCGTGTCCGAAACAGCATAAACTTTATGTTTTCTTAGATTCTTACTTTAATCATATATATTGGATACATGCACACAGACCTGTCTGCCAACAGTATAGGTTTGCATTAGAAAATGCAATCAATTCGTCTATGCCATAGGAAGTCTGGCGCCAATTTGTTTCACATGCTGATCATCTCTGCTGGTCTACAAAATTGCCCTTAGGGAATATCCTAACTGGGTAGTTTTGTGATGAATCATGAAGACTACACAGTAACACTTATACGTTATTTGCAGATGTCTGTGATTTGGCTTACAGTAACAGCTAATCATTGTGGGGCCATGCTCATTACATGTCATTTCAATCTGTTCTATTCAGAACAGTCAATGTGCTATGGCAAGAACCATATGTGCGTACATTGGCCTGGCACTTACTGTAATCGTCGGTTAGAATCCAATGTATTTGTTGGAATTCATCAAAATTGTCCTGTTAAATACAGAGACGTTGGTTGGTTGTTTAACAATATTAAAGAAAAGTATCTAAGTAAAGTATTTTTTGTTTTAGAAATGTCTAGAATATTTACTGAAAAAAGAGCAAAATTTAAAGGCAAGTAATTTGTCTTGTATGTGGTACATTTCTTGGGAAGCCAAAAATGAAATGGTCAAATGTTGTTTTTGAAGCTCTATAACACTGAAATTACAGCAGTTTGGTTAGCCCAGAATATTTTCCAAAAGTTTGGAGAGAGAATCAAAATTAAACTTTGCAAAGCTTCCGTGTAAATATGAAATCATCGTTGTCTAAGAAATGAAAATTCTCAACAGCACCAATATATAACGAATCTGATCAAAATAAACTAATAACTTATAATTACGGTAATATGCAAATTAGCTACTAAACATGTCTGCACATTACCCAAAGATACCTTGATATCTGATTTTTTTTTTTGAGATTTTGCTTACACAGGCTGAAATAAGATTATTAATATGCAAATTAGCTACTTATTATTTACAGGCATGGCCCCACAACTAATGTCTGCATATTACACCAACGTACCTGTGTACTAAATTTGATAAAAATTTGCTCAGACATTTTTTAGATTTCGCCTACACAGATACACCAAACTCATTACCTTCCTTGTGTTCTTCGCACACACAATTTCTGATAAACTTTTCAACTAACATGACAACTTGCCTGTTTGTCATTGTCACCTCCTGTGGAAAGGCAAGAATGTTGTATTGAAAACACGTCTAATGAGGTGTCTTTAAAAAAACACTGTTTTCGGTGAAATGAAAACAAGGGAAAACATAAATTTTGAAAGGATTTCAAGTTGTCTGAAAAGTTGTGAAAGGCTGGAAATTAGTGAAATGAACAAGTTAATTAGAAAAGTGTGTTTGTTTCTGGTAATTCTTTCACTGTATGGTATACAACACTAACCCTATCACTGCTGTATATCCTTAGAGAATTGGCGATTAATATTATCTCTTGTGTTCAGTTTTTGAATAATATTGGAGTCACTTCTGTGCAAGAAGTGCACCAGGCCTTTTCACAAATAAAATGCTCTGTTAAAAAGAACAAAGAAGTTTCAAACTGATATATTGTATTATTTGATTCAATCTCAAATACGATTCGGTTACCTGGGAGGGTATCGTGACATACAATTATAACGAACACATTTCTAACTCTTCTCTCTTTTTATCACAAATTCATAAAATAGTCAGCACTTTAGTATAGAAGATCAAAATAGCCAATTTTTTGGGTAAAAACTGAAAATTGATTCGGGTCCATTTTCAGAAATAGTGAATACAAGAAAAAAGTGCAGACAAATTCAGGTGAGAAAGTCTGGTGGTGCAAAGGTTAAAGTTGAGAAGTCTTACCTGCAGGTTATGTTTGTATAAATGTCTACACACAATTTACAGTTAATAATCATTCCTTGTTATTCAATCTTTTCATCCCCATGATTATTACATGGAAACACAATTTTCATATTTACCTTTTTCTTTTGTGATTTGTGTTTGTGATAGTTTTTATAGCAGAATTCCCACAGGCAGGTGGTTGTACGAAAAGGTCTGCAAGTTTTTGATCACGTCAGAAATAATAAGAGTGCAGTAATCCCCCTAAAGGTGTCTGTGTGTGATGGTTGACAAGTTATTAGGAAGGATAGAAAACTTGTTTAGAAAAGCGTACATATCTTTTGTGAAGTCTGAAGGGTACTGTAAAATACTTTATTTTCACTATTTTCGCTGAAGGAATAAAATCAGTGAAATTAAAATACAGCGACAATACCTTTTTTTCCCCCCTCTATTTCACGTTCAACTTGCAAAAAAAAAAATCAGTGAAAATAGATTCCATACAAAACACCTAAAATGTCTTTAAAAAATTCCAGCTAAAATTTTTTTTGACAGTAGTAGATATTTTTAGGGAACTTCAAAGCAGATAATGCACACAAAATGATCAGTGGTTTACTGATGCATAGTGTTTTGAGGGCAAAAAAGATGCCTGAAAAGATTACAGTCTGCAAGTTATCTTGGGATTTTTAGACCAAATTTGACACCAGCAGACTAGACGTTTTTTATGGCGAGTAGTTTGTTGCAACTGTTGATTTTTCTGCCCTTAGAAACTTGTTACTCTCCCATCATACAGCTCCATCAAAGGAATTACGTACATTTACTTTTGTTGCATATCAAATGTGTGTACTGCCACATGATAAAGGTGTGCAGCCATACTTTCATCCACATGCAAATAGCAGTACTATATGCTATGTATTTTTTTTAATAGGCCCAAATATTAAAAACTCTCCATTTCAAGCAGTAAAAAAAGTGTTTCCTCTAAAAATTAAGGATCCCGGACCGTTGTTTGATCCCCAGAGTCCTCATAAAGTGGCGACTTTGAACCTCTGCATTTCTCAGACATGTTCCGAATACAATGAAGTCCATATACTTGGCTATTTACGATACTCTTAGTTTTCACAAATTTAAAAAAAAAAAAAAAAATCCAACCGACAGACCCAATTTCTAAATTTATTGTCTTGAGGGAAACAATTTTTTTTTTTGGCCTTATTTTGATCCACATGCCAAATTACAAGACTACAACAAAGTATGCATGCAGGTAATAACAAACATTACTTTTATCAATCCATGTTTACCAAACTCACCTACTCCATTAATTTCACATGTACACACTGACAAGAGTTGCAGAATTGTAGGCAAACAATGTTTATTTCAGAAAAAAAAAAAATGGTGATTTAAACAATTCACCCTACCAAAATACAAAAAAAAATACTCGTTTCAACAAAATACATACCCAGTACTTAATGGGATATATGCAGATATGTACAAATATAGTTACTGTCATTACAGTAACCATGGTTACTTACTAGTACACCAAGGTACAAGTAATATACATGGCAGTTAAGCATAGCGCAACACATCTTGGACCGCAAGACGAGACAATAAGTTAATTCTCTTTAAAATACACTTTCCCCCCACCCCCTCTCAATGGATAGAACCTAGTTATACCCATCAATCTGCTGCATTATAATTAAATCCAAAATAAAAGACAAGTGTAAATAGAGTCTGGATTTAAGCTTAATCTATTCTAGGCTTTACAAGCTAAGCTCTGTTGTCTCTGCAGAGATAATGAAACAAATAACCTGAGAACAGCCCTGATATGGGAGTTACATACTTAAGGCATTGTTGGGGCGTTACATGTCATCCAGGTATGTATGTATGTCTACCTACCTAACACCCCCTCTCTATTTCTACAGAACGTATAAATGCAACTGACAATATTACGCCAACACAAATGGGTACATAATTGCAATTACTGTAAAACACTTTATTTTTGTTGCTGTCAATTCTCATGATTTGATAATCTTGCAACGTCACCGACAAAATAAAATGTTCACAGCTACATCATTTTGTACCCCCCCCTCTCTCTGAACACTAGTCACACAAAAGTAAAACGGCTTACAGTATTTGAACATGGACTAACTACAGCATTTTCTTCAAATCAATAGAATGAATTGGCAGTGATCAGGATTTCAGTAGAGTTGATATACTAATAATAAAACCCACCTATAATTGCACATCTAGTAAGTGAACAGTTATCATTGCCCGAGTTTCAAGCAGTCAAATTTTGGAAAGCCGTTCAAATGTGATAATTTTGACACAGGTGCATTTTTATCCACTTTTTGTGAATCCAAAGAATGAGAGTCAATTTTACCCAAAACAATTTATAATTATTCACAATGATGAATGGCCAATCAAAATTGAATGGTAATATTTAGTAAATCTGCCGTGAAAACTATATATCAGTACTTCTAGACAACTATTAAATCAATTTGCATAGTAATGAAAATGCTAATGTGAACAACCACCAAGTGTATGTTTAATTCAAAGAATCATTCTCTATGTCAGTTACATGTATACGGTAGTTCTATAATCTAGATGTTTTTCAAACAAATTCCATTTATACCACCAGATACAGCAATGCTGAGAAACGCAGGGCAAGAAATTATACATCAAAAACATGCCATTGGGCTATAAAGACTGTAAATAACATAAGACTGTCCCAACTAGACACAAATACCAATGTTTTGAGGCAGAATTATTTGCTGTGGGACCTTTATTGTCTGTGATGAATGTACATAAACCCCTATGTAAGTTTCAGTGAATACCTATCAACATAGTTTGCGACTATTGATGGGTTTAAATGAACAGCAATTTCAGTTTAGTAATAACTTTGTCGCGACTTGAACTACCACTTTTGGTAACATGATTTGTAAACAATACCATTATATGATAAATACAATAGAAACAGACTGTTTTGTAAACAAAACAATCTAAAGAAGGAATTAAATATAAATTGGCACAAACTGCAGGAAAAAAAAAATCGTATAGTTGTTGACTAGCAGTTATTTCAGCACCATTAATGAGTACTTAAATACAGACAGGAGAACTCCCATGTAAACCAGTAATTCTATCCATCCAATTGCAACAAAATGTCTGAATTTCAGATTAAATTAGTAGCTGCAAAGGATTTAAGTAGGTCCGTGGTGAGTACGTAGTCTGTAAACATTGCATCCGTTGTGATAGTCATGGTGGATTCTTTAAGTTATTATACTTCAACCACCACTGGAACTTGGCCTAGTCATTCATACTCAAGTACTTGTTTATGATAGAAAAGCAGATACCTGCAATTAAAACATAATATATTAAATTTTATTGTCCATACGTATTTCGGTGTTCTCTCCAGGATACAAACAGTGATACCACAAACGACAGTACCACTACTGTGGTTTGTATTATCGCCACATTGGTCAAACACTAGTCATTATCCGGACTGCCACAGTGCTATTTGCCGACTTTTTAAATCAAATTGATAATTTGCTGAAAACTTAAAACTTGCGATTAGTTGTATCACTTTTTATGTTTTGTAAGTGAACAATCACTGCAATTTTGGTTTGGAATAATTATGCAAATTGTAGCTACTAGAGTAAGCCTCAACATTTATTTGAAGAGAAACACGTATAGCTTGCACGCAATTTTTATTTACGGTAATTTTTTTTAATTTTTTAATCATGTGATGTTTTTTTTTTTTTTCATTTTAGTCATCTATGTTTGTGTTAATATTTGAATACAAAAAGTAATTAGATGTATGATAGTAGAAATAAGAAGCATCTGTACTTCATAAGAATATAGAGAGTAATAAACTGTTACGTACCCTTCACTATCTAATACATTTTGTTGTGCAACTTTGGTAATAACTGCATCATCACATCTAAACCACTGATCTTTGTGCTGTCGTACAAAACATGTATAGTGACCACTGTCTATTGTACCAATGTGATTAACTACTGCAAATAATGTATACCTATTTCAATGACAAAAGAAAATACACTGTCAATTACATGTAAAAGGTTGTACAGAACAAATTTATAGTGAACAAGTCATTGTCAATGACACGTCCTCGTTCCGTTCATATTTAAGTGACATATACATTCAAAGCAGATCATGACCGAAATGCACCTGCATATGTACAACACATTGTACTATTATATAAAATCTGAACTAAATCCATCCATGCATGACTGAGATCTGGTTCTGGAATTGTGAAAATACGTGATTTTGATGCATTTTCGGCCTTAAAATGGCCATCATTCAGCTATCGTTAATGAAATCATGAAACAAATGCACATACATATTTGTGACATGATGTACCTTGTGTGTGTGTGAAGTTTGAACTTGATCAATCCA